AAATGTGATGATTAGTACTTATATCAAATGCTGAAAATTAATTAATTATGCAAATTAGGTAATTAATATGTACTGATATTACCATAAAACTATCAGGTCTGTGCAGTGTCATTTGACATCTATGTACCAAGTTTCATTGAAATATCAGTGGAAAAACCGAAAATTGACTAATCATTATGCAAATTAGGTGATTAATATGCACAAATATTTATCGGAAACAATCAATCTCTGCATAGTCCTTGAGTATGTAAGTACCAAGTTTCATTGAAATGTAATGCTCACTACTTATATCAAATGCTGAAAATTAATTAATTATGCAAATTAGAATGTACTGATATTACCATAAAAACTATCAGGTCTGTGCAGTGTCATATGACATCTATGTACCAAGTTTCATTGAAATGTGATGATTAGTACTTATATCAAATGCTGAAAATTAATTATGCAAATTAGGTAATTAATATGTACTGATATTACCATAAAAACTATCAGGTCTGTGCAGTGTCATATGACATCTATGTACCAAGTTTCATTGAAATGTGATGATTAGTACTTGAGATATCAGTGGAAAAACCAAAAATTGACTAATCATTAGGTAATTAGTATCCACGGATTATTACCAAAAACTAATAAAAACCTAGCATTAGTTCAGAGCATGTATGTACAAAGTTTCATCAAAATCCAATGAGTGGTTGTTTAGATATCAGTGGAACAATCATGGAACAGCTAAAAATCAGCTAATTATCATGCAAATTAGGTAATTAATATGCACGGATTTTTACCAAAAACTAATCAAATCTGCGCACATGTTCAGAGCATCTATGTACCAAGTTTCATCAAAATCCAATGAGTGGTTCTTTAGATATCAGTGGAACAGTCATAGAACAGCTAAAAATTAGCTAATTATCATGCAAATTAGGTAATTAACGAGCATGGATTTTTACCAAAACCTAATCAAATCTGCGCATTGGCCCAGAGCATCTATGCACCAAGTTTCATCAAAAACCGATGTATGGTTCTTGAGATAGCAGTGGAACAGTCGGACACACATACACACATACACACACACACACACACATACAGACACACTAACTGCAAAGACTCCCATTTTGTGCTTCGCACATGGGAGTCAAAAACACAAGCCATGCATGGAACAGTCCCCATTAGTTATCAAACTTAAGATATTAAGTTTTGCTTATAGTAATACAGTTCAAACATAAACAAGTCAGAGATGTGGATCCAAAAGCTGATGCTAGATTATGATGAGTTGAATGAAACATTGAAATGATTGACATTCTGTCATTTTTTATCTGATCGTCAAATGAGTACTTGTCCATATTGAGAGATGTTTTTCTGGGACAGCATTAATTAAAACAAAATGGCAACTGGTCGGCCATTTTGAATACATCTGTGAATCTATAACATGATGTATAATGAATATATATAATTTGAACATAATCAGTCAAAGCATGTCAGACATATTGAAACAAAATGGCCGCCCCAGTCAGCCATTTTGAATCCAATTTGAAAATAAAATGATGAGCATCAGAGACGCATAATGTCTTATGTATGTACTAACAAAATTAATCTATAAACAACCAAGATCTGGTTCCAGAATGCCAGAAATGCTTAATGAGTTTTGATGATTTCTAAGCACAAACATTTGGCCATTTTGTATATCTATTTATATCTATGATATGATCTATGGTATAATGAATATTTAAAATTTGAACATAATCAGTCAAAGCATGGCAGATATATGGCACTAGAACTGCATTTATTAAAACAAAATGGCTGCTATTTGGCCATCTTGAATTAGATCGTGCAAATTGATATTACGTAATAATAATAACAAGTCATTGAAAATGACACAGTCCCCCTTAAATTTTTGAAAGTTTTCTTTGTGCTCATCATATTAAAGCTGAGGGGTTGTCGCGAGTGTGTCCTTGAAACTTGAGTTCCAAGTGGCGCATACAACAGATTGTTTATTAACATCAAAACACGTATTCCGTGTAGTAGTAATATGGCCAAAAATAAAAACAGCCGTTATTCGGCCATCTTTGATCTGATTATGAAACACACTTATATGTATGATGTATGTGCCAAATATGAATGAAAATGGTACATAAATTGTGGAAATATAGTAGTAAGGCCAAAAAGTCAGATGGTTGTCAATCAGCCATCCTTGACCAGATTTTGAAACAAAATGTCATGGACATGCATCCTAACATGTATAAAGTACATGTGTGTTGCCAAATTTGAGTGAAAACTGACAGAGCACGTCCAAGATATCGCATAAAAAAACAAAACAAGATGCCTGCCAGTCGACCATCTTTGATCCAATTGCGAAATAAATCGTCATGGACATGTATTCTAACATGTATAATCCATGTACCAAAATACAACATTTTCAAAAAACAAGATGGCTGCCAGTCGGCCATTTTGAATCGAATCGCTAAACCACTGCATGTGCATATGTCCCACAAAAAGTACTAGGCACATGCATAGAATGAACGGGATCGGTCCAAGGGATTCTGAGATATGACTCTGGACGGACGCACAGACGCACAGACGCATGGACGCACGGACGGAGACCGAATTATAAGTCCCCATTTTCGGACTTCGTTCGAACGGGGACTAATAGTAATAATCCTTAATGCATAATCGTATCCTTATTTGGATATTGACTCAGAAAAAGAAAATTACAATAAAAATGAAAAACTGACTAAGTAACAAGATGGCACTAAAATTGAAAAGAATAGTAATACTGTAGAATACTTTATTTTCGCTTGGAATTTATTTTCGCTATTTTCGCTGAAGGGCTGCTTCAGTGAAAATAAAATCCAGCGAATATACTTTTTTTCCTATGTCTCACATTCAACTCATCAAAAATCAGTGAAAATAAATTCCATATAAAACACCCAAAATGCTTTTTAAGCAAAAGTTAATTCCAGCTAAAATAAAGTATTTCTCTGTAATAAAAAAAAAAATAGTTTATTTATTTAGGGGCAGCTGGTAGTTTTTTGAAATGATTTTCTCTGGTATTATTGGTATTTGTGTTGTTGCAATGTATTCAATTTATTTCCTTCAACATTTCAGTTCTCTCATTTTCATACAGCTTGCATTTGAGTAAGAAATGTGCATTTCGTCATTAATCTCATTTTATTCGCAAGCAATGCACTTTCTACCACTGCAAGGAATTTTTTTGTATCGTCCTTTCTCAATATCTAAATTATGGGCACTAATTCTCAATTTTGTTAATGCTGCTCTATGTTTTGCATTTGTTACTGTTGTTAGATAATTTTCATACTGGCAATTTTTCTTTAGCAGTCTATATGTACGCAGCTTATTCTTTTGGTTTTTGTCATTATCATCATGCATTTGTTCTCGACTCTTGTTTTCAAATACTGTTTTAAGTTTAATGCAAATTGTGTTGATTAGATTGGCGTTATAATTTGGATCATTATTTTCCCATGATTTATCCATTTCCAGATAGTGCAAAATATTTTTGATACCAGATACCCAATTAAGTATGCTTTTACCATCCATCTGCATGCTTCATGGACTAGCATGTTTCATTATTTGTTTTTATTTTTAGCCAATATTTTATCATTTGTTTTATACTAGTCAGTAAAATAGGGTGTCTACCTAATTCTAAAATACATGCCAAATTACTGGCTTTACAGTTTACCTGTAAAATGTATTTGCAAAATTTGTTATGAAATTGTTTCATAGGTAGCCCACTATTAAAAATATCTTTTATTTGTAGTACACAGTCGCTCTTCCAAATTTCACTGCAATAGATCAGGATAGGTTTAAGCATGCTATCAAACAGTTTTAGGTATGTTTTGACTGAAATATTGCTTTCAGAGTATAACAACTGTTTTATTTTGAAGAAAGCTCTATGGCTGAGATCTTCTTGAGCTCTGATAAGTTTACCAGTTGTGTTTAGTTTCAAACCTAGGTAAGTGTAAGAGGATACATTTTCAAGTGGTTTTCCATTAATTCATTGAAAATCATGAGTTTAGATTTTGATACATTTACTTCAAGTTTCCATTATCACAATATGTTTGCACTGAGTTTATAGCATTTTGAAGGCAGGTTTTTGACTTTCAGAGTAATACGAGATCATCTGCATATAATAAGCAAGAAATGGGACTAGATAAAAGAGTTGGTGGGTCATTGATATGCATGCTAAATAGAATTGGGCTCAGCTCATCACCCTGTCTTATGCCCCTATTAACTGGGAAGGTGTTGGTAAGGCTCGCTTTTAACTTAACACAACCAACGGCATTTTGGTATATCGATTGTAGAATTTTCCAGATATGTTATTTTTTTGCAATTTGTATAGCAATCCAAGATGCCAAATTGAATGGAATGCAATAAAGCAGGCAAAAATATGTGTATGGTTATTGAGGTGTTTTATTATTAATTATAATTGTACAATAATTGCACAAAGATGTGATCAGCTGTACTGAACTTTGGCATAAACCAAATTTGTTCTTTCATTATTATATTATTTTCTTTAACATGTTTTATTAATCTTTGTTTTAGAATTGAAGAGAATACCTTACTCAGACTATTAAGCAGACTGATGCCTCTGTAGTTTCCTGGTTCAGATTTATCACCTTTTTTATTAAAGACCGAGGTGATAATTCCTAAATTCCAGGCACTTTGAAATTAGCCACTATTTAAGATTAGATTATGATATATGTGTGAAATTTGAATGTAATCAGTCTAGGCATTTCTAAGATATATGTCCGACCGCATGCACGCAAGGACACACAAACATACAGAGGTCAATGCATAATTCCTCGTTTTCCAGAATGCAAGAACGAACAGGGACTAAAAATGATGTGCAAACAAAATATGGACACCATTCAACAATTTTTATGTATAAATGTGATCAACCAATGCAGTCATGTCCTAGATACAAGGCAGGATGTGCACAGCCACAAATCCATGTTTTAGGTCTACTACAAATTAACCAGTCATGTCTATCACATCATGAAAAATTGACTAATCAACTGTTCAACATTAAAATTCACCTATTCACTAACAATTGAAACCAATGAAAATATATACCTAAAGTCTACTGATACTCATTTGCTGATTAAAAATAAAACAACCAGCAAGCCTTTAATGTGAAAAAGAATATTAATAGTTGTAGGTTTGAAAGTAGGATTACCCATAGCTTGTTTTCCCATAGCACATTGATATGTATTCCTGGGTGATTGGTTATGATGTGGATAAGGTATCAATCCAGCACACACACCAAGTATTGTAAATGGCTCAATTTCTAAATGAGTTGTGGATCTGCAAAAAAAAAAGTAATAAAATAATTTATTGACAACAAAATACATTTTTACAGTGAAAAATGGACAGGTCATAAGGGTACCTATGTAAATGGAATATATGGAATGACAGAGACATGGCTGAATACTGAAAGTAAAGAACTAATACCACAACCTAAGGGA